CCACTGTTAGGTGTGGAGAACGCCAACCTCACGGCTGCCTCTACCCGCTCTGGCCTCGCGGGGGCGCCGCTCCCCCTCCGATGCTCTGGTCTGCATCCCGGCCCGCCCCGCAGGGTCCAGGCTGAAAGGCCAAAACGGAATCGCTGGATGAGCGATGGGCCTCCAGCTTGTGTGGCTTTTGAAACAGAACTGACTCGCTCCAGCGTGTGACCGAGCCCTTGTGCGGCCTGCGCCAGGCAGCTCCCCCTCCCAGGAGGTGGATCTTGGAAGGGGAAGGTGGGGGTTCTGCTTCATCATGAACCTTCAGCGATCAAAGCTGCATTTTAAGCAGACGGAGATCCCTCCACCTCGGGATTCACTTGCACGGCATTTAGAGTGAGTTTCCCCAGATGAAGGAATGAAACACTGCCTCCCCAGTAAAGATGGTGTGAGACACACCAGCCTTGGTCTTGTGCAAGACTGAGTTGGACCATGCGGATATAGGCAGCTAATTCAGGATGGACACGACGTAAAGGACCCCAACTGGCTCCTGCCACCTGTGCACACAGCCGCCAGCTGCTCCGTGGGGAGAACCGGTGACAATCTGCTGCGGAGAAGATCCACGCCGTGGGGACCCGATGGGGCGGGTCTACTCTGCCCTTTGTAGTCCCATATGAGTTTGCAGGTTTTTCCCCATGCCAACAGTTTAACTCCAGATGGCGACATAGGAACATTGGTAAGGGCGCCTTAAATGGAGAATGGAGCATAGCTGTGTGTCCATTCCTATTATGAAAACAAGTGAGCCTGGGGGCGCAGCGGTTAGGTGCTGTTTGGTTGGCAGTTTGAACCACCAGCTGCTGCAGATGTGACCATAGGCTTCTGGGAAGATCGACAGCAGGTACTTGCCGGCTAACTGAAAGGCTGGAAACTTGCTTTGACACAGAAGCAACTCAGAAGAAAGGCATGGCGATCTCCTTCCAAAATATCACCGACAACCCTGTGATGCTCAGCTCTCCTCTGACACACACGGGCCACCAGGAGTTGGTGTCAGCTGGACAGCACTGGTCATCTGTTTAACCCCCTGCCTTGGAGTAGATTCTGACTTGGAACTTTGACCCCACAGGACAGTGTGGAGCCCTGGTGCCATCGAGGTTACACGTTTGGCTGCGAACCTCCAGTCAGAAGTTTGAAACCACCGCGGCTCCGAGAGAGAAAGACGAGGCTGTCTACTCCCACAGAGTGACCGTCTCAGGAACCCCCAGAGGCAGTGCTTCCCTGTCCTGTAGGGCGGCTGAGTCGGCCTGGACTCGACGGCAGTGAGTCTATTGATTTTTGGTTTTCTAGGACAGAGTAGAACTGCCCCAGAGGATTTCCGATGCAATCAATCTTTGCACACGACAGCTTCATCCTCCTCACGCACAGAGGCTGGTGAGTTCACACACTGGTCTTTGGGGTGGCACAACCAGGACTCCCCTAGTTACATACCCGAGGAGGCTTCAAACAGTTCGTGGACAGCGGGGTCGAAAGATAATGGAACGTTCCCATGAGCGTTTGGAAGCCCTGGTGTGTGTATGTGGATGGATTTTTAATGTCTGGAACTGCCCACCAGAAGAAGGAGCCCTGGTGGTGTAGTGATGCATGGGCTGTGATCCACAGGGTCAGCTGGTCAAAGCCACCAGCCGTTCCTCAGGAGGAAGATGAGGCTTTCTACTCCCGTAAAGAGTTCCAGTCTCGGAAACTCCAGGGGCAGCTCCACCCTGTCCTGTGGGGTCAAGATGGGTCAGAATCGACTCAGTGGCGGTGAGTGTTTGGGTTCGGACCCCGCAGAAGCATCTTGGTGACATTATCCCATGAGGCAATGGGTCTGGCAAGTCGGGGTGGGCTGGATTTGCATTGTTTATGGTTTTAACCATAAACATTTTATTGGGGGGCTCTTACAGCTCTTCCCACAGTCCACACATCCACTGTGTCAAGCACATTTGTACATTTGCTGCCGTCATCCTTTTCAAAATATTTTCTTTTGACTTGAGCC